TCTGCAAACAGCACAACTAGCTGGGAAATGTCCAGAACATAAGCCTCCAGGGTACTTCAGATTCAAGCCATGTTGGTACTTTTGCTATTATCTGGTTCAATCTTAAATATAAATAGAAATCTATGTTCTCTCTCTCTTTCTCTCTCTCTCTCTCTCTCTCTCTCTCTCTCTCTCTCTCACACACACACACACACACACACACACACACACACACACACCACTTTTTTTCTTTTGTTTTTAGATTGGTCTCACTCTGCAGCCTTAACATGACAAGGGACTTAACCATGTGGCCCAGGCTGGCCTCAAACTCATGGCACCCTCCTGCCTTAGCCGTCTGAGCACTGGGATTTGCAGGCATCAGGCACCATGCCTGGTAAGTTTGAGTCTGTGTGACTGTACATATGTATGCAGGTGCATGTACCTGTATGCACAGGCCAGAAGACACATTGGGAGTCTTTTATTTCCTCACTTATTCCTTTGAGGCGGGGTCTCTCCTTGACTGGGACTCATGTTTTCTCAGCTAGGCTGGAAGCCGCTGTGATCCATTAACCTCCATTCCCTTTGAAACTGGGGTTACAGTGTGTGCAGGATGCCTGGCTTACTATGTGGGTGCTGGGATTCAAATTCCAGTCCCCTTGATTGTGCATCAGGCACTCCTAACCACCTCTCCAGTCCCATTCTATTTTTATTTTAATTAACTTATCAATTAGTTAAAATTTTGAGACAGGGTCTCTCTGTAGCCCTGGTTGTCATAGAACTCATATGTAGAGCAGTCTGGCCTTGAACTCACCGAGATCCGCCTGCCTTTGCCTCACAAGTGCTGGGACTAAAGGTGTGCACCACCGTGCCTGGCCCTATTTTTATCTTTTGTTAGTTTTATTCTTTACAAATTTCTTTTCAGAGATGATAGATCAAATTTGGGATAATTTTAATTTAGAAATTGAAAAGAGAAAACTGAGGCTCAAAAAGAAGATATTTGCTTAAAGCTTTTCTAGTCTAAGTAGTGGATCCAATGACGGAGTAATACCATTGGACTATTGGTCCAAGTCAGTCCTAGTGATGACTAGCAATTTCCTACCAGTTCCTGTCAAGATTTCTGCGCCTGCCTTGGAGGGTGGGGTGGGGATATGACTGCACATTTACAATGCTCTTCTGGTTTCTCATGAACTAGCCTCTCAGTTGACCCATGGGAAGTTTATTAATAACCCTCCTAATTCTGAAAATAACCACACACACAAAGTTAATCTTTTACTGTCAATGTTTTGTTTTCTGATTCTTTTTCAAGCTGGAAGAAACCCAGAAATCCTATAGCTTATTCTTATTGTAATAGAATATCTGGATATTAGATTTATAATTTATCAACAAAGTAAAAGCAAGATTTACAAATAATACATATATGTCAATTCAGAACTTTGTCGTGTCTCTGAAGAGACCACAATGTGTCTCTGAAGAGACCACAATATCGACCCTGGCCCAGTCCCAGTCTCCACTCACAATCTGGGTGATAGTATGAATCTTTCACTAGAAAAATGCATATGCACAGAAATGCACAGTATTTCACTGTGGGGATGGCTTTCTGAGAAGACCTTTTGGTTCAGAAACTAAGCTCCTGCCAGACCTTGCAACCAAGTTAAAAATAAGCTTTGAGACCATTTAAAACTATGTACTCAATCTGCTCCCTGACTGTGTATTCAACTTGTTTAACTGGTCTTTCAGAAAACAATGTAACCAACTTTGGATGTTTGGACACCCACGTAATCAGTTTCTACAGTCTAAGCTGAACACTTAGCTTTAATCTTTAACTATGTATTTATTCTGACATGTCCAAACCCAGAATAGGTATGAGTGTGTGTGCCTGTGTGCGTGTGCGTGTGCGTGTGCGTGTGCGTGTGTGTGTGTGTGTGTGTGTGTGTGTGTGTCTGTGTTTTGTGGTAATCATTTACTGAAACTAGTCAATAGGTTGAATTAAAGTAAACAAAATCCACCATAAATTTTGGAAGCATCATTTGTTTGAAGTTTTGAGTGCTATTCTGGGTCAGTAGGAGTAAGGCCCTTGTAAAACTCAAAGTTTTTCTGCAAGAAAATTCCTCATTCTTTCCTCATACTGTGTTTTCTGGGATGTTCAATAATTACAGAACAAGATTCTTTGTTAGGTAGGGCCAGACAGGAAGGCAGGCAGACATCACACGCGCATCCACCATGTCTCACGAATGATAGGATTAAAGGCGTGTGCCACCACTGTCTGGCCTCTATGTCTAATCTAGTGGCTGGCTATATCTCTGATCCCCAGATAAGATTTAGTGAGGTGCACAATATATCACCACAATATTTCAAACTCCAATTTCCTCATGTCAAGTGACAAAAAAAAAAATATGATTACAAAATGCTGTCTTTTTCTGTGCAACTTTCAGCAAAAACTGAATCTGTAACCTACGCCATATAAAGAGAATGATGCCAGCGAGTGAAGTAACCAGTGTGATAAAGAGCAAGGAAACAGCTGGGTGGTGGTGGTGGTGGCGGCGGCGGCGGCGGCGGCG